ATATATATTTTTTTGTTGTTATTTTTGTTTTTTTGTTTTTTTGGTACCGGGGATCGAACTCGGGACCTTGCACTTGCAAGACAGGCAGTGGAACCACTGAGCTAAATCCTCGGCCCGACATTAATATATTTAAATTGAAAGTTTATATCCGTAAATATTTAATGGAGGACCAATTTAATTTCAGATACTTTAGGTAGAAATCATAGTACTATTTATAAGAATTTGAATTCATCAAGGATTCTTCACAACTTTGTTTTCCACAGTTAGGATTACTAATCTATCACATGAGAAGGTGTGATTTTATGAATTTAATTAGAAATATAAATATGGAAGAGTCTGATTTGATGACAATATTATAAATAATTGATGACCTTTACTTTATAGATTTCACTTGAAATTATATATATAAATTCATTCCAAAATTATTAAAAAAACAATTTAAAAATCAATCATATAATTATCAAGTCATTTAAAAAAATCATCTAGTTATGATTTTGTTTCTTAAGAAGGCTTACCTAAGAGGACGAATCCATCTGCTTCTGTCTCTGACATTGAAGGCTTTTTAGATTCTGGAGGCTTTCTGAAGAAGTGAAACATTGCTTCCGCTACTGCTGCTACCTGAAACAGAAATGCTATATAATGTCAAACTCAGATGAAACTGTAAAACTCTTAACCCTTCTTAGTAAACACCCAAACAGAAAGATACCTCACTGAAGGCCAGGGATGTAGCTCAGTGACACCATGCCTGTCTGGCAAGCACAAGGTCCTGAGTTTGAGACCCAGTACTGGAGAAAAAAAAAAAAGATACCTCAATGATTACTCTTAGGAATTCTATTGTCAGACTTAATACCATGAGCTTTCTCTAATGTATCAGAAGACAATGCTAGAAATTAAGATACGTGGACTTGCAGTCTAACATCCTATGTGCCTTGAAATCTACAGTGCAACTTCTATCTCTGAAACTCAGAAAATAATTTTTTAAAACTTATCCATAAAACAAAAACAGTTAATACCACATTCTGGAAGGTTCTCACTAATAATAAACACTAGTTTGAAGAAAGGAAAGCAAACACAAAAACCTGTCCTGGTTTTTTGTCATGCCATAACTAGCTAATGCCTCATAAAACTAAGGCCATATATAAAAAAAAAGGCACTTCAAACAATCTACCATTGGTTACCTGATGCAGAGACTCAAGGATGATAGCACTGATTCTAAAACTGCAGCCAACCCCACCAGTGCAGATTTTTGTGAGATTTGATGAGATTATTGTATACTGACCCCAATACATACATGCAGGCATACATGCACACGCACATGCATACACGCACACACACACACACACACATGCACACACAAACCTAATTCTCCTATACTACTCCCACTTACATTCAAGGAAGGTAAAATCTTCTAGAAAACTGAGATGAAAGCTGGAGAGTACTCAGACACATTACAATCTGAGGATAATCCCTTTTAAGCAGACAGAGAGAATAAAGAAAGGAAGAACCCTCATAGCAGTAAGCACTCCAAATTTAAGTTTTCATATATTCTGCCAATACCAAAAAATAAATAAATAAATAAGAGAAGATTTAATCCAGAAGCTAAGAATTATACTGGGATTTGCCTATGTTATGCTGACCTCAGCTGTAGGCCCAAGGATATTAATCCCAACATTTGTTAGTAGAAAACATAACTGCCAGATTTCACTTTTTTGGGGGGGGGGGGGCAGGTACCGGGGAACAAACTTGGGACCTTGTGCTTGCAAGGCAGGCAGTGGCACCACTGAGCCAAATCGCCAGCCCCAGATTTCACTTTTAAAAGGAATAAAAAAATGAAAAAAAAAAAAGTCACGCAAAAAAAGAAAAATTCCAGCAAAGGAAAAGGAACACCCAGTGAAATCCTCAAAGACATATTTTGCTGGATATGGTGACAGAGATAAAAGAAAAAGTCTGAAAATCATTTGACATCTTCTCTAGAGTACAAGGATATAGGGCTTCTATGAAACTGGTAAAAAAAACAAGATGTGATGAAAAAGCAAAAGGAAAAGATGAAAAAGATAAGAACTCAAATGAAAAAAGTAACTGAATAAGATAAAGAAAAACCCACACAAGAAAAATATGAAATCAGAAAAGAATTGGTTGAGTTACAAGCAGGAATATAAAAAAAATAGAGTTCAAATTAGAAGATATATAAGATTGGGTTGAGGCAACCATTTCTCAACTCAAAACAATTAAACATAAAACTAAGAAGGCCTCTGAAAGAACAACAGCTGATTAAAACTCAACTTTGCATAAGGATCAAAAGTACAGCCATCAGTCCTAACAGTAAAACCAAAGCACAGATTAACACAACACACAGTAAGCTCTTTTGAGGGAGATAAAATGGTTCAGGAAAGAGAATAAAGGTGTTAAATCTCCAACTAAAGCTTGGTAAAACAAAGATACTCTCAAATAAGTGGGGGCGTATGCATTGAGATCAAAAGAAGATGGAAATTAAAGAACTACGGCAAAAATTGCAAGCCTGGCTATTGACACAGGAAACTGAAGTCAAATAGTTAATAAACAAACAGACCCCCACAAGCACAGAGGAGGTGAGAACCTCCCAGTGTGCAAGTAGAGGCTTCCAGGCCACCAAACCACCCCCGCAAGCACAGAGGTGAGCCGCTCCCAGCACGCAAGAGGAGCCTTCTGGGCCGCCATACCACCCCCGCAAGCACAGAGGAGGTGAGCCATTCCCAGACTGCAAGAGGAGGCTTCTGGGCCACTGTACTACCCCCACAAGCACAGAGGAGGTGAGCCCTGCGCACACCAGAAGCAACCCTCCCTCCCCGCCGTCAAAATGAGAAGACACATAAACAAGTCTCAAAACCAGACTTCCAGATCACCTAAAGCAACTCCAAAGGGAAACGAGATGGAACAATCTGATACTCAACCACGTGGACTACCTGAACTGGCAACAAAAGAGGATATGGAAAAAATGAAATCAGAAATAATTTCTCAGATAACAGCAGAGATTGTGCTCATAGCGCAAGACATGATTAACAAATCTAGAGAGGAGCTCAGGAA